AAAAAAAAAAAAAAAAAAAAAAAGAAAAAAACTTTTATCCAAGTCAAATTAATTACATTGTCAATTTCTCAACGAGCATCAAACAACATGGATTTGTTGGTTAGGATAATTGCTATCTCAATTGGGATATAAGATACTGGACCATTACCTGTAAAAATGGCCAAGTCAGCATCTTCAACTTTCCAGATATCTTCAAGAGAAGTCCCACATTTAAGCTGATGTAAATATTACACTTCAATGGGTCATGCCGCTGGTTTAGGAACCCAAAAGGGGAGAAGGATAAACATGTGCAAAAGCAAGAAAACAGTTGTTCTTCTACCTTTAATGTATCAGCTTTACCTTACGAATTGCCAGTTCAATACGGCTTAGCCATTCCTTAGCAATGGTCTTTTCTGAACCACGCAAAATACAGACACCGAGATTTAAAATTTCCTCAACATCAACTGAGGAATCAACAGATTCACATATTTTTACAAGTCTTGTAACATGTGGAACCAAATCTGTCTTTGCATCACAGCGACGGCATAAGTACTCAGCATCCAACCCAATGCTTCCTCCAACAGTCCCAGCCATGTAACAACGCAGAGCACAGTTCAAGTGAGTAATGTGTCCACATATGTAATCCTCACCCACCTTTGCTTCACATTTGATGTAACTGTAGCCTCCATATTTCAAATTCACAGTTTTGCTACAGAGAATACAACAACAATCACGGCAGAACCGAGGTTCGTTGCAGCAAATATCACAAGGCATGGCAGTTAAAGATGAGTTTTCTGCTTGCACAACCAAACTGTTGCACATATTATTTCTGGCCTTACAGCCCACATCCTCTGATGGGGAATCAGGCCGAGAATGTTCTGCTATCTCTTCAGAAAATGCAGGAAAAAGAGTTCGTCCTCCTACATTACCTATATCAAGTCAACATTGATGGGCAAAGAAGAAAATTAGATGTAAAGAAAAGGGTATTTAACTTGTATCAGTAACTACAACATCAATCATAACAAAAACATGCAATAAATAAATAAATAAAACATGAAAAATATATGCAACTATAGAGAATCATGTCCAGAATGTAAAAAAGAAAGAAGAGGTAAAAGGGTGAACAGAAAAACAAAGCAAGGTTCTGAGCAACAGGAATTCAACCAATTGTTCATTCAGATTTTATGTAACCACCTTGTTCATCAGGTAATATTTTCTGCGTTATGCCGGCTAAACTGATTTCTTACACATAATCCAATATCTTGAATACACAATGTGGGTAATTTTGATGCATTAAATGCTTTCGTAGGTTATTTCATTATTTACACTTCCATCATATCACTGATGTCATATTCTACACACTAACATGCTTTCTGAGAACAGCTTTAAAAAGCATTGAGCAATTGCATCTAACCATATAAAACCAACGATAATCAAGCCGGCACATATTCAATGTAAAGAAATACAGTAGTATTTAGAGCTCACCATTTACTGATAACTTCTTTATTGCAGGGATCTTCCAGCTGAATGAGGCAAAAAATTTATTGACGTCTTCGTGAGGAAATACTGTTCGAATATACCGTTCAACAGAAAGCTTGCTTGCAAAACCACTTTTCCTACTTGTTGAGTCACGACGAGGAAAATATTTTGGAGGATACAGGTATCTATCCAGATAATGGCCGGTTATGGCTACTCTCCTCCCCACTTTCCAACGCCAGTTATCACCAGGTTTTGGCCAATTTATAGGAGCATACGGCAAACCTTCCCCGGACTCCTCGGGTGAAACTGGCCAAAGATCAATACCATTTCCATTTCCATTTCCATTTACCCTAGGCACCCTTTCGATACTTCCATTAGTATTATCAACACCCATCAATTCCATTTCCAGAACACAAGTAGTTAGGCCTGGTAAGCTGTAATACAATTCCATTTGGAAATCATTAGCAGCTAAAGATATTGACTTCAAGCACAAAAATCAATCTGATAAATCAGAACTAGTTTCTGATTGATAAGAACAAAACCTGGTTCTGCAAATAGCATCACACCCAAGAGGATGTGCTAAATAATTCTTATATTCTCTTACACTGTGTTCGATTGCACACAATCAGACTTGGAATTTTCAAGTTATTCTTCATCATTATTCATTTCTTTAAACCGAAGATTTATACATTTAGTTCACTTAATTAAATTATTGACACAAAGATTCCTAATTTATTATAAACAACCTAATTACCATCACCAAAAATGTTCAGGAAACATTTCTATAACCTCGATTAAATCTCATTTTGAGCTAAAAATTTACTCTTTCTATTCGAAATATAATTTTACCTTTAAAAGAATAAAGCATGCGAAGATCAAAAAAAGAAAACACGAATTCACCTGAGAAAAGCTTAGCTGTTCAAAGACAGAAATTAGGGTTTCGACCTTGAAGGAATAACCTGTTTTATTACCTGCTAAGGCATTAAGAGAAAAAAAAAAAATTCAAAATTCAAAAAATTAATTAATTCTTGAAAACACTCAAAATTAATAAAAATAAAATAAAAAAGGAGACCTATTAAAAACAGAATGGAGTGTGTGCGACGGCGACAGGTTGCTTCAACGACATTGTTCGTCGAACAGGGACCTTTTTATACCCAATAATGGAGCAATTACTGCACTGACAGTTTTACCCTTGTCTTTCACTCGCCGTTTTTACGGATTTCTTTTTGTCTAAATTCACCTCCGGTTCTGGTTTTATGCTCACGCGCTTAAAAGTGTGACTTGTTATCGTTTATAAGGAAGTAGATCTGATTGATTTTAGAAATTGAGGGGTAAGATTCGTTTCGCAATACCTAGGGGGTCAGAATGTGATTAGGCCATTATTAAACTCTAATAAACAGTGAATTAAGGTTCCGAAAAATTTGATTACTTGAACTGATAACACACTGAACAAATTAGGTGAACCGCATTTAACATAAAACCCCATGTTTCGTTCGTTTATAACCTTCATATATGAATGATGTCCATAAAATTTATTTGTATAATCACATGAATTTAACATATTTATGCTATTTTTCATGAATTATAAATGGGTATTTTTCCAGCAGTATGAGACACCATGATTCTTGATTTTTTTTTGTTTAGATGTTCATGCATTGTAAGACTCCACATAACATAGTAAGATAACAGTATTTTCAGGAATCAGTTGGTCCATAGTGAAGAGTTTCCAAGTACATCATAATTTAACACGAGATGGATGCATAGCAATGAAATCAAAAGTTCCATCCACAATAAAGCTATAGCAACATCATCATCAGAAAATCAGTCTAAGCTGCAAAAACATTAGCTGGATCTACTTTAGCAACGACTTCTATCTCTTGCTTCCCTGCAATCATTTTCTTCAGCTTTCATTCAGGATTTTTGGAGTTTTAACTCAACTTGATTCGGTCATCCCTGAGTATCTTTTGCCACCTTCTGCTCAGCAATGGCTAACTTAGCTATTAAACCCTTCTTAGTCTCGATTGTTCTTATAAGCGTTGCTCGCTGGGATTGAAGCTGGGCAATTTGCTTATCAATTTCTTGGACGGCTGATAAGTTGGAATTTATTTCTGCCTGAAGCTGCTGGGTAAATTTTTCCTTTTCTTTATCGAGGGAAGCAACATTGGCCTCATTGTGGGGGACTGCAAAGAAATTGTCAGCATGCTTACATTCCCTTGTTCTAAGAGTGTAAGATTTACCAAACATGAATTTCAGGAATAAAAATTTATATATGGCATAACTGACACAAATTCATCTTCAATCGTCATACACAAGCAGAGATGAATCCTAATTGAAACCTGGCTCAAACATAATAGAATAACTATAACAGAAAAGGGATCATAAGTTATATTGTAATCCTACTAACTAGAAAAACTTAAACTTATATGAAACTATCCTGCATCGAACACTCAATTGATAACTAAGTCACAAACTATGCACTTAATGATTTCTAACCAATAACTGAGTTTGGGGTAGCATCAACTATAAACTCTAATAAACTTAATTGAAACATAACTTAACTAATCGATGTAATATGTTTAATTAATTATTAGGCTTTTTTCTTATTTAGGATTCCTCCAAAGTTGAATAACTCTGTTGAGATTTTAGGTTTTTAGAGAAAAAATAATATAAGTAAAACCCATATAAAAAAATGAAGAAGCTTACTTTGATTTTGAGCCAATTCATTTTCTTGGGCAAGAGAATTACCGGTTGCAGGATGGGCAAGATTGTCAACCAAAGAATCAAGATAGTTATTGAAGTCCTCAGGCACACATTCAGATGGCGAATCGCTTCCAGCAAATGAACCATTGTCAGGTTGATCATCCTCAAAGTCAGCTGTGCTCTTCATATCTTTTCTTGGACCATTTGATGTTAACTCTTCATTTCCATTTACTCCACTTGTATCTTTAGTAGCTGGGACTGCCTGTCGAAGAGACTGTCGAGTTCGTCGATCACCTAATGATTTAGCTGCTGTATGTTTCCTTTTTCTATTCGTAGCAACAGGGTTTTCTTCTTTGCCTTCTTCTTCAGCCTTCTCTGCACTCGGCGATGTAGCATACACTGCACTCAGCGGGGTAACATACATTGCACTCGGTGGGGTAACCTTCGCTACACTTGGTGGTGTAGCTTCCACTACAACAATTATTAGGGATTAAAACATTCCAGTCGAATTATTAAGGCAGAGATGGATATCTAATAAACTCAATACCAAATATAAGTGCTAGTGACTTGTTATAATAAATTGGATAATTCTCAACTCCTTTTAAATTTGGTCAAAATGCTCTTTTCATGTAAATAGTTCAAAACTTTAAACGCATATATTACAATATACGTTAATAAGGGGACAAAAAGAGAAAAAAAAAATACATTACATCAATATGTTCTCTCTAAAAAAGCAGAAGAGATGTTAAAGTCAACCCATTTCCTAGCTTAGGAAGGTACGAATTAAGTAGCAATAGAACTAAACAAAGTATAGCGATATATCTCATGAATCATTTCAGTCATGAGATGTCAATTTTTTTTTTTTTAAATAACAAATTAGAGTTCTTCAGATGTCAAATTAACAAGATCTCTTAAAAAAAAAAAAAATCTGCACATGGCTTTATCAGCACCACTTTTCAAACTTTGATAACTTATTATCCAACCCATCAAGCAGTTGATTAGGCAAAATCAAATAAATTAAGTAAAGCAACTTAGATCTTACAGTCCTTATCACAATTTTGACATATTATGAACTAAGAGAGACAGAATATATAAATGAAAGAACAGGGAACTCCACAAATTGTCAATTCTTGAAAAATAGATATATCATGCTAGAAACAGAATTAAAAAATATCCTTGCAACCAAAACTGGAGTAACCAGACAGACCAGTGAAACAATCAAACCACAAACAGCGAGTTAGAAACTTCACCAAGACTAAGGTCATATTACAAATGCTGAAAACTTGAAATACGCATCTTATGCCATCTGAGGAAAGGTATTGACATTATTGTTTTCTTCCGAAGTTATGTTGAGAAGGAATTAATGTCATTGAATCTTATTGTATTTTACATTTTATCAGTTCCAACATGATTACTTCAAATCTAAATAAACATAAATGTTAAAATCTGTAATATGATTTTCAACTACAGAGATCTTAAAAGAGGGCAGCAGGAGTCAAGTAAGGTGGCTGCTCTCAAGAAGTTCTTTTCAAGCTATCTACATCAACAGTAGAGCTCCTTGGGAATTTCTCTACTAAGTATAAATTTCAAGAGCAGGAACTGTCAAAACCACAGTTATTCCACTGAGCACAAACTAATTTAACCCCTAAAGTAAAATTACTTTTCTTCCAGATAAATTGAGTCCAACGTTCATCAAATTTTGTATGATCTATGATAAAGACCCTAAATTATTAGCACTCTAAACTATACATAAACAAAATATACCAGAACACACACACACACCCCGCATAGAAAAACTTGCAAGTTGAAAAATGAAAATCTGATTTTCTTAGATAATAGAGAAAAAATATAAATATAATGGCACAAGACCAAAGCTTGAGCTGACCTCCAGTTAAATTCTTCAGTGCAGGGACCTTCCAACTGAAAGAGGCCCAAAATGCATCAATGTCAGCATCTGGGAATTCAGACCGAATATAACGTTCAACTGCTAGCTTGCTTGCGAACTGTTTCGGAATGCTGGGCTTGTGAAGACTTCTTGGAAGATACAAAAATCTATCAGTATAGTACCCGAAAGTGCTGAACCTCCTTCCGACCTTCCAACCCCAAGTATCACCAGGATTTGGCCAATTTGTAGGAGCATAAGGCAAACCTTCACCGCTTTGAAATGGTGGAACGGGCTCCAAAGGATTATTCTCCTGTACCCTGCAAAAATTATTTCCATCAGAGATACCGTTCTCCAAAAACTTGTCATCCTTCCCACAGGTAGCTGGTGCTAGTACATAATGGCAAGTGACATGGAAATAGGACTGGCAACTAAAGAAACTAAAAACTCATCAAAAAACAAGAAAAGCACATTGGTAGATTCACATATAATTCAGAAACATCATCAAAAAACCAAATTTCATCAAATTGCTTAATTCATGTTTCGGATTTGCAATATTCCTTACAAAATTTGAATAAGTTTAAATATGTCATCTGTTTTGGCAACATAGTTAAACAATTAATTAAAGGAACTGAGAAGATATCTGTTTGCCAAATCTCAAATATATTCTTCCTTATACGTGTCTTTAAGCCTTAACTAAGCAATAACTAAATCTTTTCAGTTGCTCAATTATTTACCGATTCAGATGAGGACTACAAAACTTCATGGAATTAATGCAAATACTAAGCTAATTATCAAACCATGATTCAAACTTCTTACACAGTGTCACTCACAGAATCTTCTTTAGACATATCCTGATAACGTCCATTTTTTATCTTATCTATGAACTATGATAGACCCGAAGCCTTTAGTGTATACGAATCATCCAAGTGCCTCTCCCTAATGGAGATGGCAGATTTTCAGCAGTGGTCTTGAGAGTGGTTTTGACAATAAAGTAATTCTTGTAACTCATGGTCTCTGAGCATGAAACTCACAAGACACAATCTTTTACTGTAGGTTCTCAATAAAATAGCAAACAAGAACCATACAACTAGGAGAATTTGTAGATCAAGCTAATATATGGTGACAGAGAGAGTAGAAATCTCCTGTCTCCTCACATACTAAAGTCAAAGCAACCTTTATTGGAATAATAGAAACAATTCATAATATATGCATCAACTTGTTCATTCTGGACTCTGTTTTCCCTACATTGTCCAACTGACAAACCGGGCCTTGACCATCCAAAAACCATACTTTATAACACATTCTTCCCCAGCTTAGTTCCAAGTTACTTTCCTTGTGCATGCTTCCACAATAATGAAATGACCACTTTCTTAAAAACTATTTCCCTAGGGTTTTATAAAGATCTAGGTTGCCGACCTGAGAAACATGGATTTTCATCTTCAGATACAAAAAAAAAAAACCTTATTAAAGAATATTTTCCCTTATAAAACCATGCATGTTTCCGTCACAAACATTTGCATGTTCCATCTACTGTCCCAATTCCCCAAATAAAGAAAAATAACGATATAAAATTCTTGAGGCAATAGAAAAAACAGAGAACATAGAAAACTTACCCACTACTGAACTCTTGGGGTTTATCAATGTGAGGGGTAGAGGCAGGAGGGGTAGAGGCGGGAGGAGTAGAGACTGGAGGGGTAGAGGCGGAAGGGTCTGCCATTGCTAGAGGAAATTAAATCTCTAATCCTGCAAAAAAGGAAGCAATACGAGTAAAAAATCAAAATCAAGTTGAAGGAAAGAAACAGGATGCAAAGAAAATAAAAAAACCTAACTCAGACTGTGTGTAATTGCGAGCTTGTGTTAAGAGTGTGAAATGCCCTATTTACTTAGAGAAGAGATCGAAAATCGAAATGAAGAACTATTAAGCATGGATGTGTGTCCAAGCATGACTACCACGTGGCACACAAGTGATGAACGAGTGGCAATAGGGTAAAGCGAAATGACGGTTCTAACCCTCTCTACAGAACAGACTGAGCTCCGCTTAGTGTTTTTTGGGTAAACTGTATTTTGTTAATAACTGAAAGAACATAACTGATGTCCGGAAATTAATTTGGTTATTTATCTCTGTAATTTTTGACATTAATATCTAATAGTAAAGCCCATTTTGACGCCACAGTAAAAGGATATAAATATACAAGTGCAACAAGTACTACAAGTGATGGTCGGGTAAAAGAGTTAAAAAGCTTCCGGAGCTTTTGAGTAAGTTTCCTGATAGGGTCAAAAATCATCCTGGGCCCAAATAGGAAAACGGGCCTGATAATGTGGAAGAGACCAGACTTAATTTCGATGCGATCCAATCCAAATCAAACTTATTGATACGAGATATAACCAGCCCAAACCATCTGGGTGCGAGCCTCTCAATCCCAACTCACTTTTTAAACTTATACTCGAGTTCAGAGCCCATGGCCTCCACAGATCACTTTCCTATTCCTGATCAATCTCCTATTCGAGGTCACATTCCTGTTCATATCACTTTCCTACTCGAGGTTACTTTCCTGTTCGGGATCACCTTCCTATTCGAACACTGGTAAGACAGCTCACCACCGTCCTAATTCCTCTAGGGTTCGTATCAGAGTCACACTAGGACTCCTACTCCCACCAGGACTGGGAGACCAGACAATCACTATATAAGCAGAGGTCAGCCCTCTCACAAGGGACATTACATTACACCTTCACACCCGAAGCTCTGACTTGAGAGCCTCATATCATTGCCGTAGTCACAGTCCCTAACTAGACTTCTGGTAACCTCTCTACTCTCTAGCCCTCACTATACTTGCCTCTTTCAGCCTTGTTGACTTGAGCGTCGGAGTGCCTACGGTAAACACCACCCCGGTGTTTCCCGTTCGCTTCACGCCTTTGTTTCTCTACGTGTGTAGGTGTAGCGGATCACTAGTGGTCTCAACCTCACGGGATCAGATCTCCCTTCCGTACAGATAGATTTTTACGTCTACATTTCCCTAAGAAAGAATAGTGCGGATCACTGGGACTTTTATCCTTTATCCCTCAATAATTCAAAAGTTTCAAAGATTAATTAAGAGACGCAAAACTGGCGTGGACACCGTCGGTGATAAAAATATATATATATACACACACGAGATTAGAATTTTGGAATGATGTAGATTAAAGGAAATTCAAAATTTTGTTACCAAGAAACCAAATAAGAAAATATTAATTTCATATAAGAATTACATAAATTAGATAGTGTTCAGACTAGTTTGTGTACACCTCGACTAATCCCTTGAGACTCTACAGTTAATGACCGGGTAAACCCTCTAGTGGCCACTCCTATCAACAATCGAGAGGAATCGAATTCAAGATCTCTTGAATTATACACCAAGAGTCTCTATCGTCCCACCTGGACACTCAGGGATGATTTCCTGCTCCTTCATTGTTCACATTTCTGGGAGTTCTTGCGTTTTAAATGATTATTCAAACAAGAAGCCATATGTAAATGTGCATGAGCATTAATTTCGGCTTTCGGTTTTTCAGCAGTAAAAATTTGTGTGATTATCTCAGTTTCATTGGTTGTTTGTTTGTTATTGACGCAATCAAGGTCCTGGTGAAGCTGGGCACCCCTGATGATCAGACTCCAGGACATTCAAAATGATTAAATTTCTGGCTTCTGGGCTGACGAAGATTATCCATGAAATTAGTCCATTCATATTTTACTCTTTCAAAGCATTCATACAAGTTTAAATAACTCATGGGCATAGCTTTATATAAAATTCTGAATGAGTCTTCTCTTCCCGTGTATATGGAACCTGTTTCTGGGCATCCACTTGGTCTTTTACATAAGTTTATACTGATGTATTTGTGGTTAGTAGCATCACATAAAAGTTTCAATAAAAATACATTACATTTTATATAACGAAGGAGTGTTTGATTACAAGGAAAATAACATAAAGCAGTCTTCTGGCAATTGAAATTAACTAATTCCCTTACAGCATCAGTTCTCACCTCCTGTAAAACATTCCATTTGTTACTTGTGTTGGATGCCTGAATCCCTGGTCATCTCGCAATCTCTCATAGTAAAATTTCCCAGACACCTGAAATGTAAAGAAATATATATATAGATAAATTCTGTGCCAAGTCCTTTTCTCAGAAGAAGATTTTGAAAATTTAATTCTACCATGTTATTCAGGTTAAACCCTTACAAATTTAATTAAGGATGATCTTCTCTCCCTCTATACTTTTCTATTATCTCCTGATATCCCTGCAAGTACTCTTCATGCATAATCATCAATTGCTCTGCAACCTGCTTGAAGCCATAGAATATGATTGATAAGCATAAATGCACAAGTTCAAGCTGCAACAATTAAAATTGCTTCAGTGCAGAGTTTAAATAAGAACCAGATTTCATTTCATTTTTACCCACATTAAAGAAGCTTGATGTGGCTATTATTTTCCACAGAACAAAGTAAAGATGCACAGATTGACATCATGATTAATAGTAAATAAAGATTGTTGTACATGTGCATGACAACACACTATTGCAGGAAAACTGTGAATCAGAGATACATGAATAAATCCAAATCCTATTATAAAGCAGAACTAATATTGAACTATACAATGGCTATCAGAAAATAAGTGTATGTTCTAATGAAAATTCATATAGCACCAACTGGGAAATTTTCAGTTCTTTTTTTAAATGGTTTAATATCTTTTTCTTTCCATTGGTATATTATTGATCCAATCCATTGTTGATCATCGTCAAGGCCTTAAAGACGTACATTCACCCTGGCTAATATCTTAAAATTTTCTTCTTTCATGAACAAGATATAACTTCACAACATTAAATAAATTAGCGTAAATCCAAAAAATATACCTCCTCTATGCTGCCATCCTCAATTTCTGTATTCAAAGAGAGCAGCATACATTCATGCAACATAGTTTCTAAGTCATCTACATAAAGCGGCGCTGCAAAACAAGAAGAAATATAATGTAGTCTCTATTACCTTCAAAACAATAGACAGAAGAACATGAACGAAGATTAGAAAAAGTGGGGAAGGAAAGGACTGACCTTTTGATTGAGATAACCAAGAGAGGATATCAACTGCAAGTTGTTGGGCTTTCTGCAAAGAGTCATGGCCACCCCACTCATTTTGGACAGCCATTTGAAGGCCATTCCATTGAGAAAGAAGCAATGTGATTTCCTCTAGAAGATGAGAGACTGCCTCAACCTGAACCTGAACCTCTTGCTCTTGCTCTTGCTCTTGGCGAGTGCCATTATCATTACTTCCATCATTATTGATGATGGTATCCATTGAAGATTCAGCCTCTACCCTCTGCTCTCGTCTCCTCATCATCATGAAGCTTCACAAGAAGGAGAGGGAGAGTCAGACAGAGGAAGAGAAACAAAATATGTTTTTCTTTCTCGAGAATATATAAACGGGAGAGATAACGAAAAGTTGGGATCGGAGGAAGTTTCCGTCTTAGAGTTTGAGAATTTGAGAACGTTTTGAGTTTACGCGCCGAGAGCCGCGAGTGGATCCGATTCAAGATACCTAAAATAGAAACATATCGTGTTAATAGCCCTTATATTTAGTAAATACAGTACAAAATGTATGTCAAAACGTATGATAATAGTCCCATGAATTATAATTATCTTCAAAAATAATTCTAAAACAGTCAATAACAACCTTTGCAAGAATTTAACTCATACAACTATTGTTAGGTGATTGAATTGTTTGATAAAAACTATTAAATATATTATTTAAGAGATTTTAATTTCGAATCTTTCTTCGTTATTAATAAATTTAATCGTAAACTGGTTTGGGTATCTCTCAATTATAAAAAAAACAAAAGAAAAAGAAATTAACTCATTCTCTTATCATTATTTACCTAACCTAGGTGAAGATATATAATGATTGATGCGATAAACTTTAAAAAATTACCAAAATAGTAATATTAAAAATTCCTTATATATATATATATGTTATGAATACATTTTTTTAAAGAGATTTTAGTCTTATAAATAAAGGTTAATTAAGTTTTCTTTTTAAGAGGATCATATAATGTTTTATTATAGGGGATATTATATTAAGGAAATAAAAAATCACCTTAAAGATTACTGGGAATGTTTAGAAAATGTATTTGATTCGTTCGAATAAACTAGTGAATAATATGTTTGGTTGGGAGAATAAATGAGTGTGTATCTTATATAGATTACTAAATTGCCCTCTCTTTTAATATTAATATAATAGTATTTTTTATTATTATTTTTTGAATAATTTTTTAACCCCCCTACTTTTCAGATTTAGCAAAAACACCCTATCAACCCAAAATATTTTAAATTTAACAAAAACACCTTTACCTACCCCAAGCCACTGCCGACAGCTAGCCACCACCGCTAGCAGTGCCACAAATTTGGCCATGACGCCGACAGTGCCAAAGATTTAGTCGTGAAACAGCTAAATCTTGCCTTTTCTAACCATGGATGATCTATGGACGAAAAAAGCCTCATTGGTGCACAGCCAGCCACATATGACCGATCATACGCCACTATGGCGACTTTTGGCAGCCTCTGGTAGCGGTTGACAGTGGCTGGCGCCTGGCGGTGGTGACTAGTTTTAGGTATAATGGTATTTCTGTAAATAGTGACATTAACAAGAGCAATGTCGTTCGAGAAATTTAAAAAGCGAGGACAAAAGTGTCTACATGAGTGAATTTGGGTGTTTTGTAAATGTTAACAAATATAAAGTTAATTTGGACTAAATGTTCAACAGTTTAGGGGCAGCATGGAAAATAAAATTGTATTACTAGAGGTAAGTTTTAATAACAACCCCCCCCCCCAAGGTATTAAGATTCTTGGCAATATACCCCCAAACGCTACAGTTTGTCGTAAAACATTCCAAAAATATTTTTTTACAAATCAACCAAATATCATCATCTGTTCAATTTAAAAAATATTACCTCAGTTATCTAATATTAACTCACCTAAACTGTTTTTAGAGCATCTCCAATTGTGCTCTTTATTTTGAAGAGCATCTTTCATATAAATAAAGAGCATCTTCATTAATTTTAAAATATAAAGAACACAATTTTTATTCAAATCCAATAGACTCTTTAAATTTAATGAAGATGTTCTTTATTTTTAAGAAAGAGACTTAATGAGAGAGAAAATTAATAAGTAAAATACATAGGAACTTGTAGTTTATTAATTAAAATTAAGATAGAGAGTGAAATTTGACTCTCTAAATGTGGAGAGTCAAACTCACTCTCTAATATATATTTTAAAGATAAAGAGTCTATTGAACTCTTGTTTTTATGGATAAACTCTTTATAATAAAGAGTTTAGGTCATATAAAGAACCCGTCGGAGATGCTCTTAATAGTGTTTAGAGTATCTCCAAAAGACTTTTTATATGACCAAAACTCTTTATTATAAAGAGTATTCTTTAAATATAAATTAAAGAGTGAGTTTGACTCTTCACATCTAGAGAGTCAAATTTCACTCTCTATTATAATTTTAATTAATAAACTATAAGTTTCTATATATTTATTTATCAATTATCTTTCTTAATAAGTTTTTTTTTCTTGAAAATAAAGAATATATTTATTAAATTTAAAGACTCTATTGAATTTAAATAAAAAATTTGTTCTTTATATTTAGAAATTAATGAAAATATTTTTTATTTATATAAAATATGCTAATTTAAATAAAGAGGAAAATTGTAGATGCTATTATTGAAAGTATATTTATTTTTAATTTAACGGGACTTTTCCTCGAACTGATCTAAACCCTTTCAGGATTCAACTTGGGCGCAGCTTTCACCGATCATGACCCGTACACACCACCACCCATGCCCTTCCACGCTCCCAACACGCTCGCCTTCCTACTCGAAACCGCCGTGTCAACTCACTCATCGTCACTCGGCCGAACCATCCATGCTTACATTATCAAAACCCTCACCTCTCCCATCCCATCTTTCCTGTCTAACCACCTCATCAACATGTACTCCAAACTCGACCTTTCCAACTCAGCCCAACTGGTCCTCCAGTTCACTCCAATCCGCTCCCGCTCCGTCGTCACTTGGACGGCCTTAATCTCTGGTAATGTCCAGAACGGTCTTTTTGCCTCCGCCTTCCTCCACTTCAATAACATGCGACGGGATTACGTTCAACCTAATGACTTCACTTTCCCTTGTTTATTCAAGGCAGTGGCTTCACTTCACATGCCCATTGCTGGAAAACAAGTTCATGGACTTGCTTTGAAAGGCGGCTTGATAAATGATGTCTTTGTTGGGTGCAGTGCTTTTGATATGTACTCAAAAACGGGGCTCAAAGAGGAAGCCATGAAAGTGTTCAATGAAATGCCTGAGAAAAACCTCGCCACGTGGAATGCATATATTTCTAATGCTGTGCTTCATGGGCGCCCAAGAAATGCGATTGATGCATTTATAGAGTTTCGTCGGGCGGGTGGGGAGCCGAATTCGATCACGTTTTGTGCGTTTCTAAACGCCTGCTCAGATAGTTCTTTGTTGGAGTTAGGGAGGCAGTTACATGGGTTCGTGGTTAGATGGGGATTTGATGGTAACGTGTCGGTGTGTAATGGACTTGTTGATTTTTATGGCAAGTGTAAAGAGGTTGGTTTTTCGGAGATGGTTTTTAATGGGATTAATGAAAAAAATGATGTTTCTTGGTGTTCAATGGTGGCTGTTTATGTGCAAAATGATGAGGGAGAGAAGGCATGTGAGTTGTTTCTGAGTGCAAGGAAAGAAGGGGTTGAGCCAAAAGATTTTATGGTTTCAAGTGTGCTAAGTGCTTGTGCAGGAATGGCAGGACTTGAATTGGGTAGGTCAGTTCATGCACTTGCTGTAAAGACGTGTGTTGAGGGAAATATATTTGTTGGCAGTGCACTTGTTGATATGTACGGAAAATGTGGGAGTATAGAGGATTCGGAACGAGCATTCAAAGAGATGCCTGAGAGGAACTTGGTTTGTTGGAATGCGATGATTGGTGGGTATGCACACCAAGGCCTTGCTGACATGGCTTTGGCACTGTTTGAAGAAATGGTATCAGAAAGGTTTGAAGTAATGCCAAATTATGTGACCTTGGTGTGTGTATTAGCAGCTTGTAGCAGAGCAGGGGCAGTGAAAATGGGCATGCAGATTTTTGAGTCTATGAGAGGAAAATATGGGATTGAGCCCGGGGCTGAGCATTATGCTTGTATGGTGGACTTGTTGGGAAGAGCTGGAATGGTAGAGCGTGCTTATGAGTTTATCAAGGAAATGCCAATGCGTCCAACAATTTCTGTTTGGGGCGCCCTTTTAAATGCCTGTAGGGTTTATGGGAAGCCAGAATTGGGAAAAATTGCTGCCGATAATTTGTTTGAACTTGATCCAAAAGACTCCGGCAACCATGTGCTGCTGTCAAATATGTTTGCAGCAGCTGGCAGGTAAAGACCATTCTCAAGAGAAATCTCATAATTGGTTTCTTCACTGAGGTTTGAAGAACTGCCTTCATTTCATTACATGTTGAACTCACTAAGATTTCAAACTTATTTTGCATTTTTATTAAAATCTCGAATTTCTGATCTTCTATTCCCTCTCTCTTGAGCACATGTCTCTCCCGTTGAAAAGCTATTTTACTTCATCGTGCAAAGTTGTAGAGTTAATTGGGAAGGACTGGTCTGCATGTCTCTCCCGGACATAAATCATGGTCTCTAATAGGGAAGACAAATAAATATGAAATTCAAATGTCCTTAGTGTGTATGCTTAGAAATCTGAAACATAAATATTCTTTTGGATATTAAGAGGGAGCATTTCGGATAATCATAGCTAGATGTTGTAATGCCGTGGTGAGTTACATGTATTTATGTATCATGAAAACATCTCCAATACATGGTTGAGGATCAAAGTATAACACAGAATTGTGTCATTTCGTTTTTTGTCCTGATATTGCACACTACATCACGGTTCACTGTAGAAAAATAGTTTCAACATGTGTATTAGCCTGGAGCTGGATTGCTTGCAGTGTTAACCTTGATGAAAATATTAGGAAATCATATGTAGGTAAAGCTTCATCCTTCATATCTTACTCTTATGCCGCACATCAACTTTACAAGCAAGTAGCTGCTTCCTGTTAAAAAACAAAAAAACCTACATTGGAGTCACTATTTTCATTGTGATTTATTGAATGTCTTGTTCTGAAATAGTTGATTATCGAATGACTTGCAAATACATATTCAGTTTTTCTACTGTGGTTTTTCAAAAGTGTTGAGATTTTTTGTTTTTTCCAACCATTGTAGACTATTAGTGCAGGTGGGAAGAAGCTGACCTTGTGAGAAAAGAAATGAAGGTTGT